CCCCTCCTCCCCTTCTTCCTCCTTTATCCAGAATGAGCAGCACGGTGGCCCAGTGACTAGCACTGTTGCCTCACAGCAAGAATACCAATGTGTTGGGTCCTCGCTGAGCCATCTGGTATTTCTGTGTGGAGTTTGCATGTTCTCCCCTTGTCCTCGTGGGTTTCCCCCGGGTTCCCCGGTTTCCTCCCAAGATCCAAATGTGCTCTATATTATAGATAAAATAAGCCTAAACCTTTTTTAAAATATAACACAGATAACACAGTTTTTCTCCGGTCTACCTTCGAAAGCAGCATCTTCAATTCACATTCTGTTCAAAGTTTCTCTTTTTGTTTGCTTTTGCCATTGCTTTTTCGTTGGGTTTTGCCAAAGTAAAGTCATTAGCATATTCATACAGGGTAGGAGGCAGGGAGGGGTTTTGCGCTCGTGCATGTTGCACTCAGTTTCAGTTTCAATCGGATGTGCAAAGAGAATATGCGTGGGATTCCACTGAAATCATACTAAAACATTGCGTACGCAGTAAAAAATTCTGATGTATGGAACTGCGTACGCACAAAGCTGTAAATGTGCGTACGCAGTTTCATACATCAGAATTTTTTAGTATGATTTCAACGCAAGTCTTTGTACATGAGGCCTCTGGTGAGCAAAATAGGTTACCGTTACTCTGACTGGGTTTATATTAGTCTGTGTTCAGCACATCATGCTCTCTGTGTGTGTTTTGTTATTGATTTATGCCTTAATTCCACTGAGTGGTACAGTACGGTACGGTACGGGTCACCTTAATCAGGCTTGGTATGGTATGATTCACTATCTTTTTAACTTTGACAATGTAAACGTAAAAAAATGCATACTGTACTGCTCCAAAATACAAGCAAGTGCTTTATTCTTAAATGAACCAGTTATCTGAACAAATCAATTGAATAGATGGCTCAAATTCGCTATGCATATTCAAAAATATAACAACATATTTTATATTTAAATGCTAAAGAATGAATAAAAACAAACAATAAGCTGGCGTCACGGTGGCGCAGTGGGTAGCACAATCGCCTCACAGCAAGAAGGTCGCTGGTTCAGGCCTTGGCTGGCTCAGTTGGCATTTCTGTGTGGAGTTTGCATGTCCTCCCTGTGTTTGCGTGCTCCGGTTTCCCACACAAATCCAAACACATGTGGTAGGTGAATTGGGTAAGCTAAGTTGGCTATAGTGTATGTGTTTCAATGAGTGTGTATGGATGTTTCCTAGTGATGGGTTGTAGACTAAGAGAGTCTAAGCCTAAAAGAAAATGAATGAATGAAATAAAAAGCTGATAACATTTCAACCTAAATGCACTCATATTACAAGTGAGCTTATATAAGCAGCATGTAAATGCCAATTTAGCGGCTTCCATTTGTAAAGGAGTAGAAATACTTTGTTTTTATGATCATAAAGGTTATTTATCGCTAATAATATTTCATTTTTTAAATATTTGTAACATTTTTGAATTAGAGCAGCTTGGATGTGACTTAAATGTTAGCAAACAATAGGCAAATTACTAATTTTGGGGTGAGCTGTCCCTTTAGGTTCAGTGCACAGAGTGGTCCAGATACACATGTGGTCTGAATTACCCAACCCTCCCAAAATTCACTTTTGCCGAAGTAGCCGAGCCCGAGCCCACGCTGTGGAGACTTTTTACAGCTGTCTTTGCCTTTCTTTTCATTTCAACTTGGACTTCACACAGAGGTGCATTAATATAAAGTCTATTGAGGGAAGGATCATGAAGTAAAACTTTCAAAAGGTGTTCGGCGAAGCAGAGGCACGCATACACACATATACACACACACACACACAGTTAAGTTCTCTGAAGCAGAGCATTCTGGCAGCTCAGTGTGCGAATCTTTAAAATGTTCAGCTCGAGGTGAAAACACAGAGCGCTTCATGTTTAATTTAAAGGGCATTTTTTCCTCTCTGGCTGCTCTACATTCTCTGACAGTCAACTGAAGCTACTGTCATTAGTTATAATGGGACCTTATCACACAGACTGTTTAAAGGTTAATTCACCTTATGTAACGACGCCACTGGTGGATAAATTCAATATCCGCCTGAATGAAAACATTAAAAGAAATGCAGGATTTGTTTCACATACTGTTCATTATCTATAAAGGGATACTTGGATCTGCACGCACTATTCAGCAGCAGTGGAGTAATAGTGATGCTCAGAGGTAGTAACATCAATCATGCATAAGCTGTTTTAGAAAACTGGTGAAGGACTGTATTTAAAGATTTGCTGGGAGACGTATTTGTTGTTCTTTTAAAATACCCCAGCTTTATTTGTCTAGATACAGTTCAGCGAGCAAGTATGCTTTATGGGCACTCGTTTAAACACAAATTAGATGCAAAAAAAATACTAAAAAAATGTGGATTCAGAAAGAATCAAGTGGATGCAACTTCTGGACTGCAAATAACTTCATAAAAAAATTGTACTGAAGAAAAAAACAATACTCAGAAAATACTCAAACTACTGAATACATTATTCAAAGAAACTGGGAATTTCATCCATTAATCCTTTGACTTGTGAAAGAACAGGCTGAGATGTTGCCACTTGTGTGGTAGGTTCAACTCCAAGTCCAAGTAAGTAAAAATTTAATGTTCAGCTTTTAGAGGTATTATAACAAAATTATACGAATTGGAAACAACAGAAACTTATACCTAGATATTTCGGAAAAATACACGCTCCCAAATTTGAGAACAGTCCTGTTCAAACATGACAGTGCACCAGTGCACAAAGCAAGATCCATAAAGACATGGATAAGATAAATGTAAAGTAACTTGGCCTCCACAGAGTACTGACCTCAACCCGACTGAACACCTTTAGAAAATTAAGTGTGAAGATTGAAAGCCCTCTCGCTAAATAATTGAATAAATGCAATAAACACACTCAAATCCTTCCCGATAGAACTATAACATTTTGAGTAAACATCATATTAAATAATGTGAATTAAGATTTGGATGTTGTTAAAGTTCATGTATATGCAAAGGCAGATGTCCATAACCTTTGGCAATTGTATATCTTTTTTAAACCGCTAACAGAATTGACAATGCAGACAATTGTGTGTAATAATAGTATTAGAGTTAATACAGCATAATAATAATAATAATAATAATAATAATAATAATAATAATAATAATAATAATAAATCCAAATGGTATCTTTAGCAGAAAATAATTGTTGATTTACCAATGTGTATTTTTGTTTGTTTTGTCCTCAGGTGCAAGAACATAATTTATATGAGAAACATACTTGTGGCTCTTTCTGGAAAAGAATTTGATTTAGATGAAAAAATAAAATAAAATAAATAAGAAAAAACAAATTTAAACTTTCTTTTTCAATTCAAGGTGCTTTTTAGAACGGTTGTTGACCGCACATTTTTCACTTTAACGTTGTAAAAAGTAAAAATAAATAAATAAATACCAAAATGTGGTATATTTTTTTTATGAAATCTCCCGATAAAGTTGAATGAATAGCTTGTGGAGGTTGACCTCAAATTGAAGAGAAATTGTAAAGAGAGAAGAGAAGAGAGCAACCGGGGGGCAAAAGACCAGTGTAAGCATTTTGTGGGCAAATTGGGCAGGAAAGATAAATATTTGATTTTTATTTTCTGCTTCAATCTATCATAAATATTTAAGAGCAGGGAAGGCCTCCAGAAGTTCCCTCTGCAGGAGGAAAAGAGCAAGGCGTACACACAAATGCACATACATATGCATAAACACAAACGCAGCTACATACTGCAGCAATTAGGTGCAAACTGGTGCATAATTGTGGAACTTCAGTCCCATTAATTATGCCTCTTGTTAGAAAGTAGATGCTGATTTAGGATGTGCTAATCTAGCACTTTGACCCAAAATTGTGTGCACATACTGTTCAGAAGTTTGAGATCTGTATGTTTTTGAAAAAAAAAAAAGGTCTCTTCGACTGGGATAATGGGATAGTTTACGCAAAAATAAAATTGTGTTTTTTTAGTTTCTTTATTCTGTTGAAAAAAAAAACTGTAGAAATCAATGGTCCCATCAACAAGCATTTACCCAAATATCTTATTTTGTGTTCAGCAAAAGAAAAAAACTCTAAGATATTTTAAACAAGTAAAAGGGTAATTTCTGACAGATTTTTTAGTTTTGGGTGAACTATCCCTTTAAGACTGTGTGCATTTGATGCGAAATATAATATAAACTGCATAATATTGAATATTATCACAATTTTAAATAACTTTTCTATGGGGCCGATCTCACCAAACGCACTTTTTATGTTGAGAGGTGACCTTTTGGAATGATTTACTAACGGCCATGAGCGTTTTGCGCACTGCGCGCCTTACATTTTAACCTGTTCTGTTTTGAGTTATCCGGTGCTGTATGAATCACATATCTTGAATATTAAAAATTTGCGTTGCCTACGAATCTAAAAAGCGAATCTAAAAAGCGCAAAAAAACGCGTTTTTGGAATGTAAAAGTGCATTTGGTGTGATCACCCCTAAGAAAGTATAATTTTTCTTTTCAGGATTCATTATGAATAGAAAGTATGAATGTATTTACATTTAATTTAACACGTGTCCTCAATGAATAAAAGCATTTTTAAAAGAAAAGAAAAGAAAAAAGCTTTTTTATATGTAATTTTATATCACAATGCATACTTTTTCCACATCAATATTAAACATTAAACAACACAAAAGTCTCTTGAGTTCCTTGAGCAGACAATCATAGTAGAATGGTTTTTGAAAAATACTGTAGTGCCACACCGAAGGCTAATGTAATGCTAACAAGTACTTTGAACTATATTTAAAATACTATTGCACAGAAAAACAATGTTTGTTATTGATTAGATAAATGTGTTAAATATCGATCCTTAAATTCTGAACAAAAGTGTAAGTGTTTACTTCTGTAACCCACAGCTTGTCTATTGGTGCATTAAATGTGGATTATTTTTTGGCATAATGACTGAATAGCTGTATGATGAGTGGTGTTGAGATGAGATTACCTGAGTGGCCTGAGTGTCCTCAGTAACCGCAGCACACGTAACATGCCCAGGATCTTGGTGCCACTGTTGGAGATCAGGGACACGAGGATGTCAATCACAGAGATCATCACCAGCATGCCATCCAGAATGTTCCAGCTGCTCTTCAGGTAGGTCTTCTCTCCAAAACAAAAGCCCAAAGCAACCACCTTCAAAACGACAACAAACAGACATGATTTTAAAGTGCCATCCTCATGAAAAAAAAAAAACTTCATAATGATAGCCTATTATTAACTATAACCATATGTAATTCATTATTTTTGATAAATAAAATTCAACTTTTTATTACTAGTTCTTATATGATATTAACAACTTTACAGTTTGAATATAAAACAAATAACTTAGAGGACAATAAACACTCTTATAAAGTGTGTATACACATTTTGTTTTCAATACCAAGTGAGCCAACAATACATATTTCTAGAAATCATTTTCTCAAAGTTCATACAAGTAGAGCCCAGTACTCCATTAGACTCAATTAAATCATTCAACTATGGAATTATTTATCCCATACAGCAAAAAACTGTTTCCTCTTTAACAGGTTTTAAGATATGCATAAGGAATCACTTAAATGTTGTTCTGTAATTTTGTGAGAATACTATTGTATGTATGATTTAATTTTATGGTTGGGTGTGTGTGATTTTGTAATTTAATTTGAGTGTATAATTATTTACTTTTAACTGTAATTTAGCATTTGTTGTAATGCAATTGCTTTGTCATTGTCTTCTTAATATTAATAAAAATATTACTAATACTACTACTACTACTACTACTACTACTACTAATAATAATAATAATAATAATAATAATAATAATAATAAGAAGAAGAAGAAGAAGAAGAAGAAGAAGAAGAAGAAGAAGAAGAAGAATATTTTATATTTTAATATTAAGCTATACAATATTATATTTGTGCATTTGCATAAGATTAGTCAGTACTGAGGCCAAAACTGGAGCTTATCAAACAAAATAACTTAAGATAATGGTCCAAAAACTAGTACAGCCAAATTTATATGTTAGAGAAAAATATTTAAAAAGAGGAAAAATCAAGAGAAGCAAAAAAATATGAAAAATGTAGTTGAAATTTTGAGGGTTGTATTTTTTTATTTTTTATTGTGAAGTTTTGCTTGAATTGTATTGTATTATCTTGCAATCTCTAAATATGTTTGGTGACTAAAATATTAATTAAATAAATATATCAGTTTAATAAATCTTTTTTGCTTAAATGCACCAAAATATATTGCCTATATTCACTGAGAAATGGATAAGAACATTCATTTTCAAAATGGGGCATATTCAATTATGCTGAGCACTGTAAGCTTTTTGGGCTTTTTGCCTCATCCTGTACATTATGGAATTTTCTGTTTTATTCAAATATTTTTGCATTCTTCTTTCAAATAAATAAAATAAGGGAAAAAAACATATGTTTTGCTATTTCTCCACAGAACTTCGCAGGAAAAAAGAAGATTTATTCAGAATGATTTTGAGAGTATACTTAACCTAAAACTTAAAACAAATTTTAAACTTTTAGTTGTTTACAGTCCAAATGCAATTACATATATTTCTTTAAACAAAGCAAGTCTCTCATAAAATATGTCTACTAAAAGACATAACATGTTACTTTACAAATTGTATTTTAAATAAATCATATAAACATTTGCAAATTAGTAAACAGAAACCACTGAAATTACTAAAAAAACTGAACAAATATATATTTACCTACATTAACATAATAAATAAATAAATAGACTCATTGATGGGCTAAAAATATGCAGATCTTTGCAAATGCATATTCCATGTGGGCCTATACCCACATTTAGGTCCATAAATATTTGGTACATAGACACAATTCTAATATTTTTGGCTCTATACACCAACACATTGGATTTGAAATGAAACTAACAAGATGTGCTTTAACTGCGGACTGGCAGCTTTAACTTGAGGGTATGTACATCCAAATCAGGTGAATGCTGTCAGAATTACTACAGTTTGCATATGGGCCTCCCACTTGTTAAGGTTCCAAAAGTAATTTGACAATTGGCTTCTCATCTGTCCCATGGCCATGTGTGTGTTATTCCCTCATTATCCCAATTACAATTAGCAGATAAAAGGTCCAGAGTTAATTTCAAGTGTGCTATTTGCATCTGAAATCTGTTACTGTCAACTCTCAAGGTGAGATCCAAAGAGCTGTCACTATAAGTTAAGTAAGCCATCATTAGACTGAAAAAACAAAAACTCATCAGAGAGATAACAAAAACAATAGGCATGGTGAAAACAACTGTTTGGAACATTCTTAAAAAGAAGGAATGCACCAGTGAGCTCAGCAACACCAAAAAGACCCAGAAGATCATGGAAACAAATGTGGTGGACAACCAAGGATTTCTTTTTTCTACAACAGTTGGATAGATCAAGAACACTCTCCAGGAGGTGTATGTACTGTATGTCAGAGTCAACAATCCAGTGAAGACTACACCAGAGTGAACACAGAGGGTTCACCACAAGATGTAAACCATTGGTGAACCTCAAAAACAGGAACGCCAGAATAGAGTTCTAAAATAGAATACGCAACCAAATATTAAAAAGTTAAAGCAGGGGTCACCAACATGGTTGTGTACATGGTTGTGTACATGGCTTCTATACTTAATCTAATATAGAAGTAATTATTTAAAAATGTAAATATTTGCAGAGATATATAAAAATAAAGTGTTACACATTGATACATTAAATACAGGGTATTTCCTACCCTGTTAAATCATTGTTGATAACTTTTGTGAGAATCATTAACATGATCAGTGTCTTCACCTGGATGAATATCATTAATTATTACCAAAAACATAAAGTATAATTAAAAGTAAAATGAGCAAATGTGTTATTTGAGAAATGTTTATCAAACTGGTAGCCCTCCACATTAATCGGTACCTAAGAAGTAGCTCTCGGTTTCATAAAGGTTGGTGACCCCTGAGTTAAAGTTTAATTTATTATTTATTATACATATTCAAACTGTTGTAATTCCTACAGCGTTCACCTAATTTGGATGTAAATACCCTCAAATTAAAGCTCAACCTCAGCAGTTAAAGCACATCTTGTTTACTTAAACTAAAATCCATTGTGTTGATGTAAAGAGCCAAAAATGTTAGAATTGTGTTGATGTCCAAATATTTATGGACCTAACTGTATATTTAGCTGAAATAACTGCATACAGTTTGGTAAGACAACACAATGACTTTCATTAGAAATGGAGAAGAACACATACACACACAACAAAATTGATATGCACACACGACATGATGCCTGAGAAAGCTGATGTGTTTGAAATCTGAGTTTGGGAAAGAAAACAAAAACTATTCTCTAGAGTTTTTTTGTCACATACTGTGGCATTTCAGAGAAAATATCAGGTTAGACTGGCATACAGCTGGCATATAAAAGGGGCTCAGAGGAGGGAAAATAAAGCTGAGATAAACAAACCAGCAGTGAGAATCATCAGCCTAAAAAAGTGCTAAGCATGAATGTGCACACTCCTAATGATGTTGCTGGTGAATGCATCAAACCGCAATCTGATCAGACCTCAAAGTGAACAAAGGCACGTCAGGCAACAAAAGCCAGGAGTTTCAACAGCCCTGTCATCTTCATCACGAGCGGGAAAGTTTTCGCCAGTCACCGTTAATTAACCTCTAGTGAGTATGATTATTCTCTGCCATGATTTTCATTTGAAAATCTCTAAGGTGGGCATGACCTGGCATAAAGCAGGACCCCAGAATAGAAACCCTAGACCTCTGTGACTGACACCTATGAACTTTTCTGTCTTCTCCAGAGAGGCCTCAGCATGTTCTTCCATTTCAGCCATCGTCATTTGAATATCTGGCAGACAGTCCTCCTCTATTTAGTATTAAGCGATGTGGTGAAGAGTGGAAAATAGCGAGCAGGGTTTGCTTAATAGACTTTTCATGTCAGTGTGCTCTCTGTAGGACCTTTATGAGTCTGCATTTGTTCGAATGTTTAATTCAGCTGACTGGCGGCGCTTGAACATGTCAGTGAGATTTTAATATTTTGCCGCTGCAGTTTTTGTTTGGACTGTTGTAATTGACTAAGGGAGGTAAGGTCTTAAAGGGCCAATTCAACCAAAAGTGAAAATTCTTTCATTATTTATTCGTTACAGTATTTTATCTATGTCATTCAAAATGTTCTTCTGGAAAACACGAAAAGGAACGAGTTAAGCCCTAAAATAGCTGCGAGGGTCAGATTAAAATTGTTATTTGCTGAATGCAATAATTCTGTGAGTATTAAATTCAGAATTTAAAAATGAATCCTTTTATTTTTTCCCCCCAATTTCTGTTAAACGGAGAAGGTTTTTTTTCTAGCCATTTCTAAACATCAAAGTTTTAATAACTCATTTCTAATAATTTATTTATTTTATATTTTCCATGGTGACAGCACATAATATTTTACTAGATGTTTTTCAGGACACGTCTATACAGCTTAAAGTGACATTTAAAGGCTTAACTAGGTTAATTAGGTTAACTAGCCAGGTTAGGGTAATTAGGAAAGTCATTGTATAACAGTGGTTTGTTCTGTAGACTATCGAAAAAATATATATAGCTTAAAGGGGCAAATAATGAAAATTTAAAATCGCTTTTATTTATTTATTTTTTACTTTACGTTTATACATTAAAACATTTGCAAGAACTAAACATTCAGTGACAGCAGCAGTTATTGAAAAATATATAATAATTAAATTAATTAATAAATACAAAAAAGAATAACCATAGCAACAAGTACCACTACCAGTAAATAAAAACAAATTACAAAAAGACACATACATCATTTTCAAATTTCAAAGAACACAGCTGACATAGTAACAGGTGCCCATCTTTGTTTATAAACATGCAATTTCAATTAAAGTTGAGCAGTCATGTATTCCATTCTATATATATTGATTCACGTTTTTCTGTCCACTGTGCTATTGTTGGAGGATCTGGCTTCATCTAATTTAATGTTACAGTCTTTCTTGCACTTAGTAAAAGTAGAAGTATTATATATCTCAGGTTTTAATTTATGCACCCTGGAGTCTCGCTTTAAGCAAGAAAAACAGGGGAGTAAATGGTAGATCTAACAGATCTAAATGTTTAACTTTGACACAATCAATGGTGTTCAACTGCTTTTATTCTAGCCAAAATAAAACATGATTTTTTTTCAGAAGACAAAATATTTTCATGCTATGAAAATTTCCTTGCTCAGTTTGAAAAATATTTTAAAAAGAAAAAACTAATTCGAAGGGGGCTAATAATTCTGACTTCAACTGTACATGTAGATTATTTACTGTATTTCCATTCTGTTTATTTCTATTTCAATCAATTGTTTTTCATATTCAAAGCACATATAAATAATGAACAGTGATTTTATCATAATATAACTTAATGATATAGATTTTATTTTAGAATTTTTACATATTGTAAAAAATAATATTATTATTTTATATGACATTTATAGTATACAGTATTACATTTACATTGCATCCTGATAAGATATGCATTAGACTTTGATACAACAAATTGTAATTATTTTTAAACAATTGTAAATTGTGTCTCGGTGTATATAAAATATAAACAAAGAAAATTCTTAGCATTTTTGCAGCGATACAGTGGCTGTTACACTTTTATTTATATTTGTACAGCAAATTTGGTTTAATTTTATATTTTCTATTATATTATAGAATATATTTGCTATCAATTTTCCCCTTCTGTAAAATAGCAATAGATACTATTAAAATTAATTAAATTAATTTTAAATAAAATAAAATTGATTAATTTAAAAAAAAAAGAAAGAAAGAAAGAAAGAAGCCAGTTAGATTTTAATTGTTTTAATATTTAATTATATATTTTGTCAAATGAAAATGAAATAGATTTGGGGTTTTTTCCCAGTTTTGATACTAAATTGCTGATCTCTGTCAAAAATAAGCTATTTATTTCTGTGATTCCATAATGGGTCTGAACGCTTTGTTAAATAATAAGTAGAGTTAAAATTCTTTTGTCATGGTGTACAGATGAATATTTCTGTAAATAAGAACTGACACTTTTACTATAAAACACTTTAGTTTTTAAAATTATTTTTGTAAGCTTGAGATTTAAACTATAACTGCATAAATACAGATCAACCCTTAAACTTTTCTTTTTTTACTCAATGTGAAGGCAGGAATACATTTTCAAGCATTGTCAAGGGTCAAAAGACAGGATCTGAAATCCCTCTGACAGCAATGTTTTCACCAGACTCCATTTTATCCATGCTGATCTAACTATAAAAAAGGCTACATGGAACTGAACTAAGTCTACTTTTGGCTGGTATTCTGGCCCAGTCATTGAGTTAGTTTACCCTCTGTCAGAGTAGATGCCACACAGAGACCCGTCACCTACCTTTATTGTCATTTCGGTCACAAAGATGGCAGTAAATATGTAGTTGGACAACGTCAAGAAGATGCGTTCCTGTGGAGAGAAGCAGACAAGCAGGGAAAGTGACGGGTGAGTCAGTGTTGGATCAGAGAACACTCATATGTGTGTGTGGCATAACACATTAGAGGTGCCTCCTGTGATGGCATCTATTGAGTTAAGACTGTGCCCACGCTTCGAGTACTCCATGGGCATTAACACCACATGAGATGCATTTCATCCAGTCTCCTCGGCTGGAAACTACTGGATAACACACGGATGAGTAACAGCTTCATGACAGTCCCCACTGAAGCTCAAAGAAGTCAATCAGATTTGAAGAATTATAACCAAATACATCACTGTGTGTTGACTATTTATTTATGAGCTTTTATTGTCATTTCAATATAATACTGCAATTGTTTGTCTTTAAAATTTTGTATTTTTTTTTTCTTTCCCAAGTGTTTTTAACTTGCTTTAAAATATTTTTTCTTTTATTTATTTGCTTGTTTATTTTCACAGGGATAACCGATGTTGCCTACATACAGTAGGGCATATAGCATAAAGCTAATTTGCAGCCCTCGTCCCTGGTTAGGCATTGCATTAAAAAATGTAAAATAATAACAAACAAGAATAAAACACAATATAGAAAACATGTACGATATATACAGATCCACAAACATAAAATGCAAGTCAATCTGCATAAAGAGAAATGTAAATGGCACCAACCTGAAAGAATACTACTTAATTCTCACATTGCTGTAAAGATTTCAACCATTCTTTCAGCTTTACAGAAACAACTGGAAGTTCTGATTGTAACTTCAACTGAACAGGAATGGCATTCCATAGATGTGAACCTTTTACTGACAAGGATGACTGACCCACAGCGGTTCTGCATCTATGGATTCTACAATTCCCACTTACTGTCCCACTAGTCTTAGCCCCATCACTACTGAATGTATGTATCAACTCACAGACTACTTTAGGGGTAAGACCATGTATAGTGTAAACACGGTTTTTAAATAGCTTAACAACTGACTGGGTTGCTCGACCCTAGATTATTGCACAATAAGACATATCCTTTTAATTATGACTGAAAGCAAACATTTAGGGATGTATTTCTGAATATTTTCTGTCTTTTTGTTATCATTAAATATGTGTTTTGTTTTGTTTTTTGTTATGTTCATGTAGTTTTAGACCTTTTTTTATTTTATTTAGTATAATGCATTATGTATAATATGAATAATAAAAAAATGTCGCCAAGGCTGCTTGCAGAAATAAAATCTACAGTATTTTATAATCAAGTCAAGTCAATTTGAGCTTTATTGTTATCCTGCTACATGCGTGGATATACAGTGGAACAAAATGTCTCGCAGGACCATGGTACATAAATAAAAATAATCATAAATATGAACACAACACTGGATAAAAGAGCTATATTAAACATAATAGCTATTGTGTTATGTTATTAGCTTATTATAAGCTATTTATATATATATTAGACATGGCAGAGTGGTAGTTTAACTATACTAACTACTAACTCTACATATACTATAAATATTTAACAAGACATACAACGCAATATTGTGAAAGACATTGTGCAAAAGAAGTATTTTATGGTTAAAGACGACAAATAGTGCAACATGAATTGTGGTACATTTACAAGTAAACAGTTGTCTTTCTTAATAAGTCCTTGTAAGGTGGAGTAGTATTTCTACAGGTGGTTTGTCAAGCCCACTCAAATGTGTAAAGCACTCTCAGAAATGCACAATGTTTTTTTATAGAAATATGGAGTGATTTTAAGACAGTGTCTGGTGCAAATATACAAACTGGTGCAAGTGTCTGGAAAGTAGGTCAAATAAAGTTAAATATGAGATGCTGCATTTTGTTGCTCATACATATTCAATACAGGCTCATTGCAGATACTTACCCCTGTCTACATTTCTAGAGAGCTTGGGTTTTGCAGCCAGAGGTACGTCTGTCTGCAAATTGTCTTTAATAAGAATACAAGCTCTTTCTTCCACGACTCCCTAACCCTTTTCACTTTCATCCGCAACACCCATCTATACCCCAAAAAACCTCAAACCCATTCCAACTTTACCGGTGTTACCACTTTCCCCAGTGGCTCACCATGTCCTAGAAACCAGATAAAACAAAAGAAAAAAGTTTTAAAATGAAATAAAAAAAAACCAACAGGTTAAAATGTTCTAGATTGCTTTTGAAAACACTATCAGTTGGGTTTAGGGAAGGGGTTGGTGGGCCGGGTCGACTGCAGTGTATATTGCGACCTCAGGTGAATTTATGCAAGAGGATGAAATTTAAGATCGAAAAGCATACACAGTGGCCTCTGGAGGATTTGCGAAAACAAAAACTGTAAGCAGACGTACCTCCAATTACATATTTCGCTGTCCCCAGAAAAGTAGACCTGGATACACAACCGCTATGAGCCTAGGTTGTACATATTTGGTCTTGTTTCAAATAACATTTATGAAGGCAAAATCATGAAATATGGGTAAAATAATGTTCCAATCTCATTCAGCGTAACACGTTTACGTAAAAGTGTATAAATAAACAATAGCAAATGTAATGCTTGTATAAAAATATAGTAATAAAGTAAACATGTAGCTCCTTCTGATATCAATAAGCCTAGTTTGAAACATTTTTTTTTTCAAATTACAAAACAAACCTAAAGCCTAAAGCCAAAATTTGACCTAATTTTGATTGAGGTTTATTTGTTCCCATTTACATTTAAAGCAAACTGAGACATGAAATTACGTTCATAAGGCTAAGACGTTCAAACATAAGGCTATTACAAAACCCTATCAGCATAAAAATGCCACAGCAAACATGATGCCCTCCTGGCTGTGCCTCACAGCCGTCCCACGCAGCAGGTGCTGTGCTCTCCACCTCTCTGCTCTGACCTGAGCCAGTACTGTTTGTTCCTCTTTCTACAACAACAGACTTCATCCTCATGATCTCACAATAAACTGAATTGAATATACAGATTCCTGACTCACCAGCACCAAACACCAACGCCACAGGTCAAACATATACAGAGAGAGACGTGCCCATTAGGAGCAAAGGAAATCCAAAAATGGTTCGGTATATATATATTTTTTTAATGACATATCTCTTGTTTAATGATTGAAAATTGTGTAAGAACTGAATTAAATTAAATTAAATTTAACTTAATTAAAAATATTATATTAAATATTAAATAATACATTTTAAATTAACTTAAATTTCAATTAAATACTATAATAAATTTAATTAAATAATACATAAAAAATCTAAAATATTATATTGAATTAAATATTAAATAATGAATATTAAATTAAATAAAAATCTAAAATATTATATTAAATATTACATAATAAAAATTAAATAACTTAAATTAAATACTATAATAAATTAAATTAAATTAAATATTAAATAAAAAATATTAAATATTAGATTAAATTCAATAATAAGTAATATATATTAAATTAAATTAAATTAAATTAAAATATTAAATATTATATTAAATTAAATATTAAATTAACTTAAATTAAATATTATAGTAAATTAAATTAAATAATATTAAATAATATTAAATTAAATTAAATTAAATTAAATTAAATTAAATTAAATTAAATTAAATTAAATTAAATTAAATTAAATTAAATTAAATTAAATTAAATTAAAAGATACTGTGAATATGTAGTATTGCTAATGATGATTAGATGGAAGATGGATGGATGGATGGATGGATGGATTGATGGATGGATGGATGGATGGATGGATGGATGGATGGATGGATGGATGGATGGATGGATGGATGGAAAATACCCTATTCAAACAATGATGTAGAAGCAAATATTTAACTATGAACGACTACAGCTATGTTTGAATAAACATGTGAAAAGGGGGATCCTTCAAAAATAAATACTTATAAACAGATCTATATGTTAACCAGACTGCATTGGTATTGGTCTAAGATGATCTAACCATACTTCCTTAATACGATGTACAAAGTGCAACAGTATTTTGTTTTAATACAAAATAATCAAAACTCAAACTGTCCACTGAACCAAATAATCAGCGATTTGAACCTCAACACCTCAGTCCTGCTACACTACTTTCTCTCTCCACTTTCCTCTGTAAACCATACTGAATGATAAAGAGGCAAATAACATACATTAAATGAACACAATTGCAGTTTACATTAGAGGTGACAGAAAAGATTAATATCCGCTGTGTAGTCTGTGCTACATGATCTGTCTATGTCAGGCATGCATGGATTGTCAAAGTATAATGGATAATAATGCAGGCTGCTTACACAAAGGTTATTAGTCTGGTCTCAGTTAGGGGTGACCCAGTTAACTGGAGGGCTGCTAAGATCCCACCATGGTTTCTTTGAGTGAGAAATCGATTGCTGAATTACTTCAGCTTGATGTCTAATAATATTTTATAATATAACCACCATTTTAAAATGAAAGTTGACTGTGTTGTTGTTGTTGAAATACACTTCTGCAGCGCCAAAAGGTGACAATAAATTTTACACAATGGATTAACCTAACACATCCAGCTTGCACCTTAACACAAAAAAAGGCACAGTAGTATTATTATTAGTAGAAATGTAAGGTATATAAAGATTCATCATAAGGTGACTGAGTATTACCAAACATAATAATAAGCCTTTCCTTCATTCTGACATACTGATATTCTGTGGTATTGAACATGATTGGCTACTAGATGCCTTCTTTGGCGCTTGAAAATTTTTCAACTTCTTCAGTGGACAAAGGACCTATCGCAACTCAATGGAACCACAATTCAGTTTGGAAACACTTGACATTACTACAATCAAAGTCAACACGGCGAAGAGGCCTACTGAGCACTTCCGTTTAGAATGAGCCTTCAAATGGGAGCCATGAAGCTTCAAATTGCTATTTTAATGTGGATTAATCTTAGAATAGGACTGTTGCCTTCATCGTGGTCTTCATTAACATTATTCGTCATTAACTTGTACAATCCTAGAGTTGGGACAGATACATACTATATAAAAGATTACAAAATACACA